GAAGTTGATAGATATTGTGCGCGAGAGAGAAATAAAGAAGGCTTTGCTTTGGAAGTTAAAGAGGAATAAGCAGGGTTTCCAATCTCCAGTACTTAACAAGAAGAGATTGAGGCCCAGCTACATATGTCCTTACTGTGGGAAAGTGTTTGTGTTCCAGTCTCAGTACAGACAGCATTTAAGAACACATCCTACAGACAAATCTGACCAGGACACCGCAAGTGAGAACATCCTCTACCAGGAACAGGATGAGATCATTCAGCAGAAGAACACAGACACTGGTGTTTACTCCTGTAGACTCTGTAATATGAAGCTGTCGTCACTCTTTGAACAGGGTGATCATGAGAGGGGCTGTCGACATGCAACTGTTTGTCCATACTGTGGCCTCCGATTCTCAAGTCCAACTGTCAAGAGGGACCACGAGGCTCACTGTAAGTACAAGAAACTGACGTGCCTGGAGTGTATGCGGACCTTCAAATCCTCCTTCAGCATATGGCGCCACCAGGTGGAGGTCCACAACCACAACATGATGACGGTGAAGGACCAGATTCACCTAAAGCAGGAGGAGAACAGTGAAGAGGCGTCTGAAATGCTCAGAGAGGAGCACTACAGTGATGAGCGTCTCGCAACTGGGAGCTCGAGAGAGAACATTGGTTATTGTGACTCCTCGGGGCCATACATGTATGATTCAGAAGACTCATCATCCTATGTGCCTGAGGACCTGAGCATGGGTCACCATGGCGAACTGGTGGTGAAGGAGGAGCCTTTAGAGGAGGCTGTGAGTGAGATGGAAAACACAGAAGCTGCCAAAAGTGGGTCGGAGGAGCCTGGTGTGTGGCCATGCGAGAAATGCGGAAATCTTTTCAGCTCTCGCAAAGACCTGGAACGACACCAGGAGCTGCTTTGCCACATCAAACCATTCATCTGTCACATCTGCAACAAAGCCTTCAGGACCAACTTCCGCCTTTGGAGCCACTTCCAGTCCCACATGTCCACTGCAAACGAACCTGGAGCCAAAGAGTTCGATAGACACCCCTCGCCCCTGTCCCCCTCCCCTCCCATGACTCCTCAAAACTCTGAGCGCCACTCTCCGCAGGCCACCGTGTTGAAATCCACGCAGCCGCCTGCACCAGCTGCTGCAGAGTTCGCCGAGGAGTCCAGCAGCCCAGAGCCCTGCAGCTCCTCAGCGAGCAAGACGAAGAGACCCGAACTAGAACGGCAACCCAGCAGCCACAGCCCTCTGTCAAGGTCAGACAGCATGGAGAATCCAGGTGGCACTCAGGAATCAGACACACTCTTTTACCACGCACCGTCTCTCTCTGCCCTGACGTTTAAGAGGCAGTACATGTGTAAACTCTGTCACAGGACCTTCAAGACGGCCTTTAGTCTCTGGAGCCATGAGCAGAGTCACAATCACATGTAAACAAGTTACAGCAGTGCGTTTTTCATGAGAGACAATACAGAATATTCAAATAAACACACCTCAGCCTACAAAAGGAAGACTTTGAATGTATAGCTAATTCGCTTGCCTCCAATGTCATATATTAAAGTGGCCATGCTCATTAGAGGTGTAAACGTGAATGTGCAATCAAGTGCTAGATCCCTCTGTGAGATGATATGATCAGAAATAGTTTATTTTCCTTTCAAAATGATCTGTTTTAAAACTCTTTTACTTGTCCACTAGTATTTATCTATCTAGGTGTTTTGAGGGAACAAGGTACAGAGTTGCACCGGTTGGCAAACAGAGGTAAAACTACATACACTGTTGTCTCAGAGTGTGAGAAAAGTGCTTTAAACCTTTTGGAGCTTGCAGTTGAATTAAATATTAGTGCTTTTTGCTTTTGTGTCAGATCTATCTCTTGATGTGAGTCACATCCCTTAAGGTAATATTGGTGGCCTCAACGATGTATTCAATATGCACTTTGTTTAACACTTTGATTCTGTTACATGGGATGGTTTGATCCAAAATTGTAGCTATGTTTTAGGCTGCAGAAGTTTAAAAAAAAAAAGAAGATGACTAGGCCGAGCAGTATGTATTTTCTTTCTTCATACTTAGCATTCCTCTGAAATTTGTTGTCTCATATTTGAGCCTCAGACTGATTGACCTTCAGTATAAAAAAAGATGTTAACACACACTGCACATCAGACTCACCTCAGACACCTCTGGTTTCAAACAATGCTTCTCAGTATGCAGCCTTGATTCATCGCTTACACTCAGTTCTGATAGGTATCTTCCTTATTGTCAGTCTGGTGAATCATTTTCTACAAGTGAATGAGTCAGTGCAATCAAACGTCATGAGATTTGAGAAAATTGTGGGGGGGTTTCTCAACAGGTAAATAAATATGTTTCTAAATGTTAGAAAAACAAGTGTAAAACAAAAAAGATGCTCAGACCAATTTATTTGTAAAAATTGGGAATATTACCAGTGAAGAAGATGGTCAGGGTTGATTTGATAGTATCCTAAATACTACATTAACATCAGTCCAGTATTTGGCTCATCACGTCACCTTCTAGAAATCTGAAATATCCGCAGCGATCTTAAATAAAAGCACACTGCAGTATCATAATGCAATTTATGGTTAAACTCAGTGAATGAATATGGAAGTTATAACATTTGTGTATATTAGACTCTACTCCTGATTCACTAAAGTCCGCTGCCCCAGTGCAGCATTAGCAGTGTTATGTAAATGCTCATACACTGATAGATTTGTGCAATCGAACAGATGGTAATGAACCGAGCTTTACAATGCTTTGGTGGCCTTATGCAAAATTTTCAAATGCTTTGTCGATATTGTTTCACATGAAAGCACAACAGACGACTTACAACTCAGGCATTTCGATTTTTGGTGGAAAAGTGGAGAAGAGAGAGGCTGATCTTTATTCTTTTCTTTAATGGTGAGAGAATGTTTCTGCTTCCTAAAAGTTTATTACTGAAGATTGTGTTTTGATTGTATTCCAGTTGTTCCACAGTTGTATTCGCGTACCAGTATATTCTGCTTTGGCTTTGGCTTGACTGATTGTCTTAAATTATTAAGATTACTACTATTTGGAAGATGTTGATTGCTCAACAAAAAATGTTTTATTTGTTTTTCCTCTAAATGAGCTACTCCAGCTGCATTTTGATGTTTAATTCATTGGAGAGATTCTGTTTTGAGAAATAGTGCTCTTAATTTCCTGTGAGAAACACTTTTAAAGTTTCACATAAACGACTAGAATTGTGTATATGGAAGTGTTTGTATCTGCGATTTTGTACCAATTTTGTTAGTAAAGAAAAGTTTTATCTTTTTAGTATTCCTGTGCTCTCACTGCAATAATGAATACTGTTCTATTTGTATCAGCATCGGTTGTATTATTGTTGCTTTTTGAAATTTGCAGTCGTTTTGTGTTTAGGTTTTTCTACAGCTTTGTGCTTAATTTCTGTAATAAAGAGTAACAATGGAGAATACATGTACAACCATATATGGTGTGTGAATCATTTAACTTCATGTATTGACTTTACCTCAGGTCTATGTAACTAGGCACCTCAGCTAATTTAAACCATAACCAAACAGCCAAGTTTGTTAGATCCTCAACAACTCAATGATCTTGATCTTTGTCACATTTCAATCAGTCTGGGGCTTCTCCATCAAATTATCTATCTAATCTAAAATGTTAAAAGAATAGTGACAATTGTCCAATACAATTCCCTATAGCCTAAAATCATACCTTCAAATGTCTTCCGTCCAAAAACCCAAAGACATTCGTTTACTGTGATGTATGACGAGAAAAGATATCAATTGTTGACATTTGACAAGCTATAACCAGTGAATGTTCTGCAGTTTTACTAAAAAATGATCTGTATAGTAGTTGATTATACTTCTTCTATCACTGGAGTATCAATCCACTTGCCTTTGCAGGTCAAAATCAGAAGAGCATTCAGAAATTAAAGCCGAAGCTCTGAATTTAAACTACTGCTTAATATTTTCAGTTTCTATATCGTCAGTATTTTTTAAATGTTAAAATTACATTTATTTTTACTGTTCAATATCACAAATCTGCTTTAAGAGGCTTTACAATCTTCAGCGTAAACAACATCCTCTGTCCTTAAGCCCTTGAAATGTATCACTTAAGAAATATTTTTAACTTGGCATCCTGTCATAATATTTCAAAGCAGATATAAAAGGGGCCTGTGTGCAGCATTTACAAGATTGAAAATGAACTGATCCTTAGATCTAGTGATATATACAGTAACTCCCTTGTGAAAGGACATTTTTGCTGTTCTCACATTTAATCTGTGATCTACGATAAGACATAAGGTTTTCGGTTAAATGTTTTTAAAGCCCTTTACAAACTAATAAACACAGACAACGATCACCCAGTTGTCAGTTTCATGGATGTGACTTGTGAGGCAAATGGTACTTTGTTTATTTATCCAGGAGTAGAACTAATAATGTGAAAATGCACACATCATCCTGTTGGCAGACAACCCCGAGCCTGCGGGATGTTTTTATCACTCTCTGGGCCACTGTGACAATTACTGGCTGGAAAACTTGGGAGTGAACTTAGGAAGTGTTTGCTTTAATATGGAAAAATGGCAAACTGGAAATCCTGTCCTACCCATGTGTAAGGTCACGCTCTCCATGAAAATGTTAGCAGAAAGGAAGTTTTCACATAAAGGAGGAAATCTGTCTCTAAACTCATCCATATCTTTTTCACACACACACACACACACACACACACACACACA